GGCCCGGGTCCTCCCCTCCCACCAACTCGCCGAACATCAGCCGTTTCGGAAGCCGCCCGTCCGGCTGTCTTGCCACGGCCCCCGCAAAGAGCAGGCGCCGTTGACGGACAGTGGCCTCCACGCTCTGGCAGCCGACCCTCTTTAGCGCCTGGGCGTATGACAGCTGCCGGTAGGTGCCTCGTTTGCGCCGGTAGCCGATGACTCGCAGGAGTAGCCGGTGGTGTGTCGTCTGCAGCATTCCGTAGTGGTTGCGGCGTGGGGACCATGTCATGCAGCCGTATAGCAGTGCCTCCACTGCCTCCGCCTGGAGTAGGCGGGCCTTGAGGCGAAACGGTGCTCCCGGTCGGTCAAAGAGCTCCGTGGCGTATCGCTTAATGCACGCCCACGCTGCTTTGCTCCTGTGGTTGATCTCTCGGGTAAGGTCGCCCTGCTCGTTGACGAGGTGTATGGGATTGCAATCCCCGTGCCCTCCTGAACAGAGAGAGGAAAAGGGGGTTCCGCCGAATACATTTCCCCGATCGATCACAAAGAGGGGCGGCGGCTGGAAACAATCTCGCCGCACCTTTTCGTTTTCATCGCCTCTCGCTTCGTTGCTGCGTACCTGCGTCGCAGCGTCGCGTACAGCGACCTCAAGGTCTTACTCTCACCCCTTGCTACCCACTCAGCCCCATCGAACACCATGACGGCCAGAATTTCATTGCTGGCCGCCGCTGCGGCGAGCCTGTTGCCGGGAGCACAGGCTTGGTCAAGTATCATAAGTGCAGCACACGCAAGAGCTTCCTCCAGTACGAGATCGAACGCTGGTCCTCTCGGGGGCCAGCATAGCTTCGAGGGAGGGATGCGGCAGAGGGGAGTGGGAAATGCCGGACTGTACGGCAAGCATTTGATGTGAGCCCCTGTGTTGTCGGCGTTGTCTTTGAGGTCAACCCTTGCAACTTTGTTTTGGAGGCCAACCGCATTCTTCGCGCGTGCCTCCTTGTCTCATGAACATGTGTATATCCTCCAATGAGATCAGCAGATGAACCCGCACGGGGTAGATACAGCAGCTGTTGTTTGGTGATACACTGGAGCGGCATGAAACATGAATGACCAACTCGCTGGTGCCAATTCATCCTTCGGAATACATTACAGCAGCGGATCCCCAGGGGGGACACACACCTATGTACGTACTGCTGTACGCTGTATGACAGCAGTAGACTGGTACGTCTGTGGGCGAAGTACAGACCGCTTTTTTACAATGAACAGCTGCACAAGTAGGCACTTCGACTACAGCAGGCACACATATTTTATTGGCTTGGACAAGTGCTTTGAATTCTACAGCAGCATCACGCAGCCCCCCTCCATGAGTTAATTCCTGTATGCTTCATCCCATTAAAGTACTCTGTACTCTAACGTTTGATGGGCAGGGCGCGATCAACGACAACAGGGTCGGTACGCGGGGCCCTACACGCAACAAACGTGCAGAACGAGGTGGCCGACGCTCTTAGCGACGAAGCTAAGATCACCATCGCCTCCGCCATTAACGGGCTGCCGGAAGACGTTCTCGCCTACGTCATGGCTTACACGCCGGTGAATTACTGGAGTACCTTGTGTGTCCGTGGTACCGTGCTGCAGTTTTCTTGATTCATTGGTGTAGCCTTGGCACGTGCGTTGCGGTGCCGTTCTTGGCGAATGCTTGTCGCTGCCAAATGTCGTGGTCGATGGCTCACGCTGTTCAAATATGCGGACTAGGGCTAGTCGTTTCGTCGTCGCCATCGTGAGAATGTTCCGTGTGCTGTTGCGGTATATCGTGGTGACGACTTCGCTTGATCTTTCTGGGCTCAGCGAGCGAAAGGATTCATTTGCTATTTCCGCTTCACCACGTGCCCCCCGGTACCAACGGTGAACACCCCCAGGCTTCCCCTCGCGCTTCAGGGAAATTTCGTCACCTCCCGTTCTTTTTTGCCTTTCTCAGATAGGTGACACAGCAAGACAAAAGAACGCGTTCACGGCGGGAGCGTACGTGGTGGATTCGGTGGAGGTAGTGGCGGTGGATGGGGAGGGGATGGATGTGGCGGCCTCCGTGCAGACCAAGTCGTTCTTCGGAAAGGTGGGTTTCTCAACCGCTTGCTGTCGCTGCCGTTGCTGCGAGTGTGTGTTGTGTTGAAAGCGTGACATCGTTAATGTTGCAACAAGTTTCCGCCTTTCTCACTAGTCAAGACTGCTGCTGCTCCGAAACTCGTAAGTCCACCTTGCGTTGAACAGCCAGCTTGCAGGTGCGTATGCTGGCCTCCCTGTCCCTCTGTCTCTCCTCTCACTCGAGCGAGAGCCTGGGACCGAGCACAGGACGCATACAAGGCACCTCCCGACATTTGGCCGTATCCCGTGCCACGAATTCACGCTGAACAGCCTCTTCGTGACCAAGAAAGTTACGTATGCACGTTATCTCCAACGCGCAAACAGCCTTACTGCGATCAACAGAGCGCCTCCCAACCGTGCGTCCCCGTTCTCAAGGTGCAAGAATCGAAGCAAACGGTGCGGGTGCCATTCGGGGTGGACCGTCCGCTGGAAACATCGGAGGCCGTGAAGCGGAGGTTGATGGAGATGAGCAGGGAGCAGGGGTTGACGAAAAGCACGGCCACAATCTACAAGGTGCTATTCATAGACCATGAAACACACGAGTCATGAGTGCATGATAAGTCGATTTTTGAGTGCTTGCAGTCTAAAGCTGAAGCGAATTGAGCAGGCGACGTGTTGTCGCTTGCTGGCCGTCTTTTCCGTCCCTCGCCGTTCCATTTTCTTGTCTCCGCCTTTTGTATCTCGTCGAGCATGTCTGTCGTCGATTTGCTTTTGTGCCCTCTCCCTCTCCCTCTCTTCTTGTTTGAAGTCCTATGTCTGTATTTCTCTATCCGGTTGACTCTTCAGACTCTAGATCATTTTTGTTGTTCCTAAATGCATAATGCGAACGAGCCGCGTGGGGGCACAACACAACCATTGTAGGTTCCCCATCCTCACTTGAAAAGTTTTAATTAGTATGGTGCCTCATTTGAAAGACCCTTAGAAGCCGTTATTGAGCCATATTTGCCAACCTGAGCGTATTACTATTGTGCTACACTGTATCCCTTTTAGGCCCTGCGCCAAGATTTATCCTTGCGGGTCAGAGCTGTATGGATTTTGTCCCCATTTCTGGTACAGCATCAACATGAGATATGACACTAGACTTATGGGCTGTTGGTCTTTATGCCTGTCTCTCTGCTGCTCTACCAGCACATTTTCACCCGCCTCCAACAAGGGCTTCAAGCGTCGTATCTACCAACATCGTGGTACTTTCACTTTGCTACATGAGCTTTCCCCCTTAAACTGTTTGTTGTGGTGGTCGGTCAATCCTGCGAAATGCATCATCTTGTATGGTGTGAAAAGAGCCATGCGTACGCACTCGCGGCAGCTTCGCACTTCACAACATATTGCAAAGATAGCGACAACCGTGGAGTGGAGAAATTTCGGACCTGAATCAAGTTGACTGCAATGTCACGGACCCCGGTCGGAATGGAAATGACAACCATCGAGGCAGAAACGGGCGCGCAGGGACACACACAGACTCGTTTTTAGCTTGAAAGTCTCATGGTGGTGTTCGTTAAAGTACAGCTACCAAAACCTATTGACGTGCGGTTTCGAGTTTTTTTTTTCAGGGGTCAAAATATGCTATTGCTGTGCCGCTGTGTGCGCTGTTGTTGGAAGCTTTCTTGGACAACCAGCAGTGTTGTTTTCTTCGACGATGAAGGTGCAGCTTTGCAGCTGACTGACGTTGTACTGCCTGTGGACAGCCTACCTAAGACAGACATCCCTGCCAGCTCCGGCTACCGTCGGAACATAGTAACACCATCATGAGGTCTCAAGAAGTCTATTCTCTCTTGAAAGCTGGAACCCCTATCACAGAGGTAGAAAAGTTCCCACCTGTAACTGCGTTGCTGCTCACCAGCAGCAACGCCTTGGAACACATGTCCATTGCACGACGACCCCTGCATGCAAGATCTGTAGCGAGGCGCGATTGTGTGCTTCCGAACAGCGAGAGCATTGCCAACCGTAGTCCGTTCGGTACGGCGCAGATAGAGTTGTGATAGGTGCTTGTTGGTTATTGTAGCTGCTGTTAGGCGAAGAGCTGGCTGTGTGGGCACTCTCTATGCCTCTGCTGTTCCTCCACGATTGTGACGATCGCCAAAGCACAACATTTAATGGAGCCGCCTCCGAGGTGTCCATCAATTAATTAAGCATGACTATTGTGTACGAAGCATTTGCACGATTACAAAGCATGATCCCCGTTTGAGTGTGTTCGATCACCACACCAGGGGGGGAGGGGGTGCTCATAGTCGTGCATGCCGTAGTCGTTTGACCGTTGACCTCGCATCCCTACAAAGTTGGGAAGGAACATGCCGGGTTCTCATCGGACCAGGCTCTCACATCACCAAGCGCGAAGCGCCGTGAGGTTTTCGGCGAGTCGCATGGAGGGTGCGCTGCATCTTGCTAAGGTGTTCGGCATCTTGTGCTTCCGGAGACGGTTATAAGCGCTGTATAACTGCCTCGAGGGTGCTTGACCAATTTTACCCAATGTGGTGCGGCCATCCCCTTTGCGCGGAGTGAGCGTTGTCGACCCCGCACAATATGATCTACTCGACCACCATTATGGTCACCGCAAAAAAGCAAAGGAATAACGCGGGAGCCTGGTTGTCGAGTTCACAAAAACCCAACCCCGAAAGCTCTTCGGAGGGGGGCAGGGGGGCTTCAGCCATCCCGGGTGAATACCTCCTTTCGTTTACCTCTATGTTGTTCACTCTCTTAACATCCTTAGCCCATTTCTCATCCTGTATGTCGTACACTCTCGCCCCCCTCACCCCCCCCCCGTATCCCCTCCTCCACTCACCTATCTCTCTCTCTTTCTCTCTGCCCCGCTCTGTCCCGCCACCTCCTTACCCACAGATCCCTGTAGGCAGCTACGGTGGACTGCCTGTCAACATGCTGCTCAACAACGTACCCCACTCGAAGATGGCGAGGAACTTCATCTACCGGGGGGCGGCAGAGGCCCTCGTGCAGGCGGTGGAAGACCCCACCGTGCCACGGCGGATGAAAGTGCGAACCCCCCCGAAAACGACATTCGGTAGCTGATACGACGTGCAGGTGTTTTTTGTTCTTTACCGCTGGTTGTTCCGGAAATGCCCTGCTTGTAACTGACGTGACACTGGTGCGATCGGTTGAAAAGCCATTTTCCAGGGGGTGGCGGAGGCCCTCGCTGTTGAAGCCACGACCCCCCCCCCCC